CAGAATTGGATACATGGTAAATGATTGGCTGTCTGATTAACCAATCATTGTAGTACTAATAACTTCAGTGATGGTCTTAGCTATCAAGGTGAGAGCAGTAAATTCCAAAAATCGATAATCATGTGAAAAGGTGTCCACTTCCATAGTACTCATTTAGCCTTTTTCTCTACCTTTATGTCTGTCTGTCTCTTTTACATCTGTGAATCACTATTCTGTTCCCCCCTCTCGGCTAATGATAGCTTTCTAAACGTCTGCCATTTGTTAGAAATAAATAATCAAATGAAAGTGCGCATCAAAACACCTGATAAGGTTTTTGGAGCAATTTATCAAAATGTACAGATGGCGTGTAAACTGAAAGTGTAGCTGAGGGAGTAAGGAGAAAAATAAGGGGAGAGGAGGGGAAGGGAAATCAATAAAGAATAAGAATAGAATACCATGAAGCTCATTATTTAATAGATGGAAAATTGAACAGCCATGCAATAAGATATTTAAGCAAACTATCAACTGTAATATGCAGACTAAATGATAACAACTACTGAACGCAGGAATCAGCCATTTCCTTGGTTTTAACGAGGTGTAGTCTAATTATATAATTTTTTAAGCATGTTCCGCAAGATACCATTAATCAATTTAGTAAAGATCTGTGAATCACCTCTGCAACAAATATCCAAATTCTTGAATCCCGATAACAGTATTCTATTCAGTTATTTTAATGATTAATCATAATAAAACCATTCGTTAAATTTGCTTTAATTTTCTTACGCAAAGAAATCCTGCTCTCAAAGAATAAAGTAAAATAGTGCACAAGATTACTACTAGTTGGGTGTGATTTTGCAAAAATGAAAACAATTCTTTTATTCTGTAGAATGACGAATGCCAATGACTTTTAATGTCAAACTTCTGGTTGCTTTTTACTTGTAAAACATGTTATTAGCGGAATTGTCATATCAGAATTTACTCCTACACTGAACATTTAAAAAAATATGGGAAAGATTTCCTCTCTTAAATATGAGCGCAAAAGGAGTTGACTTCCAAAATGTAAAATCGAGAATGTCTAACCACAGAACTAGGGTCATTTTCAATTCAGAATATAGAAAAAAATTTTCTTAATTTTGAAAATCACAGCTTTAAATTAAGTATTTTATAGTATTCTACGCGCATTGAAATAATGATGGTGATAGATCAGTTTCTTGTGCTAAAACAAATCACTAATTAGAGCTAAAATAGAAGTTTAATTTAGTTAGAATTTAGTGAAAATCTAATGAAATAAATTTATCACTTCGAATTAGGTTTAAATTAGCCATCTCAAACCGCTCCGACTGTAGAAGTCAGTTTTAGAATTTGCCAGAGAATTAAAACTAGGAAAAAATTTCTTTTCAATTGCATGCTCTGAATTTCGAAATTTGAGTAGATTTTCAATTTTTAATTTGATGCACTTTTCCCTGTCAGTTTAATATGCTTTTTTTAAAATAATTTTGCTGAAATAGTTTTTCTAGGAGGAATTAAGGACTAAATTTAGAGTAGGCATGCAAATTAGCTAATTTCACTATCGATTGCCTTTTAATTTCACTCAATAAAATAGTAGAATACGTCTTTATTTCAATAAAACCTTAGCAACCAGTGATCTATCATAATGGCGATGTAGAAGCTAGTAGCTAGTGGTCCTTGAGAGGTAATGTGATTAAGGAGTTAAAAATAAGTTTAGGTTCTAGTCTACATTCAAATTCATACTTCGTAACAATTCCGCATCGTGCTAGTTACCACCGCATAGAATATTCTATTCCCATTAAGAAAAGTGTAAACGCCACATGACCTGGGTGGAGAAAATATATCCCGAAATCGCTCTAATTCTACCTACATTTAATCAGTGTGAATGGCTATCCACGGTATTCTGTTCAGCTGCATATTTGGGGATGTAAGACGTTACTTCCACATTATTATTTTGTTTCGTTTTAAAAGCTACCTTAAAGCAAAACTTAAAATGTTCAGAGATTGCCTACGTGAAGTCTCTGGTTATCTTCGGAGGTAAAATGCACTGATTTCATTTCTACAGACATTTAAATTCAATTGTCTGTCTCACATTTTACTATTTTTGGTCACTTCATCGACTTTCTTGTTGTCTCGATTGCCTTGTCTAAGGCGTGACTTTGTTTTAGTCATAATTGGTATCTGAAGTGTGACGATGGCCTTGAGATACTTTTACTCTGATTTCTATGCCTCCTACTAATATTTTCCATTTTATAAACTTCATTTTTTGCTGTTCATATCATTTCCTTCTTTATGAGGATACTGAACTAGGTATCTCTATTCCGTCTTAAAAGAGTTTATTAATGTGAATTTTAATTGAGTGAACTAGGGTAACTTGTGATATGCTAAATCTCTTGCTATTAGATGCGGTTACTTGACCTTAAAAGACGGGGATAATTTGAGGTGGCGTAACTAACGCGCAGAAGTCAATCAAACTGGCATCGAACTCTGAATATGGTGGATTTAAACTCACCCGTAAAACGGGAAGCCCATAGAATAGCAGGAAACATTATGCTATTATTTGAAGAAATCTCGCCCTTTAGGAATATTCACAATTTAGCGCTCAAGATTTCAAGTGAACTGGGATCTGTACTGTCTTAACTTCAAAACTTGTCTATTGATTATCGCCCAGCCCCCCCATTTATAGCCCCTTGGGTCTACATCGTTATGTTGTCATTCCACCTTGCTGAGTTGTATTAGTGGAACACCACTTTCTTACACAATTAATTTTATTTTAGAAATTGTCCCAAGTCTAGTTACTTAAGCGCTAATTTTAGGCAAAGTTAATAACTTAAACTGCGCTTTGTGGGATACATAATGCTATCCCTGTGGTTATTCTATAGTTCACTACACATTCATCTACACTTGAGATATATTAAATAAACTCAAAGTGTAACAATGGCTTAAAACACTCAATGACACTTCTCTAAAGTACCCAAAACTGAATTGAGATAAATGCGTAGGCTTTAATGTTGTTTACTCGAGGTGATTGACGGACTAATTTGCTTTAACATAGCTCCCCTTATCCTACTAATTACTTGGCTATTTTAAGGAACTAAGTCATTTGAAGCGATCCTGCAGCTTAGATGAAGCTAAGTTTTCTTGATACCAGCGCATTCAAGCACTTGCCTTAATTAAAAAATGACGCAAACCAAAATGACGTCTTGATGGTCAAACTCTGGCAAGTGGTAAATAGGAGGTGATGGCAGATATACAATGGGTAACGCCAAGGTAACAGTCCAACCTAATTTGATTTATGGACTCAGATTGCACAATGCTTACTAACTATCCGCCTCAATTCCCGATGTTCAAAATGCACGTTTCTTTAAATGTATCGCAACACATGCCTCTCTACGATGTTTCAGTGATCGGTGTTTTTAGATCACGCAAGGGAGGCCATCTTTTAGGTGATTAAGGAAGTACTTCATGTTATACCCCCCCCCCTTCGGAGTTGGCAGCTTTAGTATAGCGATGACGTGCTGTACAGAACTTTTGGGGGAGTAGAAATCCGAACGTTTTGGTTATTCAATGTGCGCATTGACAACTTCCGTTTTGTTACACTAGACTAAAATAATTGCTTCCGATCAGCGAAAATTGTAATTGGATAATTTTTACATTTGGAAGTCAAATATTTTATATATCTAACAATATTTTTCATGTATCAACATCTTAAATTATTTAATAATTAACCATTATAAAAGAATCAGATTTGATTCCAGCTAGTTTAAGCCTCCCGATTTGCTGTACTTATTATACTTATATATATATGGGAATCGTTTCAAATGCGTTCTAAATTTAGGATTGCCTACCGATAGGTGGAAACATCATTGTAAATAAAAAAACCATGATATTTGCGAGAAATCATGTAGCCTTTCACGAAAACTCTGAGTCTATTTTTCTTCAATAGAGAAATCTTTTCAAGATACCAATGCTTGAATCCAAATGCCTAGTGATTTTTTTGGGCAGCAAGTCGAGTTATGTGATGGATTGAACATATCCCTGTGGTTGGCCAATAGTTGACTGATATCTGCCTCTAGTCAGTATATCTACTTTAAATTTGCAAAAAACTTACTCTTCGCATTAATTATAGGTTTACCGAACTACGTCAACAAACTAAGACGTAGAAAAAGTATTTCTTTCAGTAGTATCTATATTCTGTAATTGCGATAACTCTTAGTCGTGGAACGCAGACGAATTTGGCTTCATGTTAGGTTTCCCCAGTTACACAGCATCCTCATTTCGAAATATAAATGACGAAACAATTGCACTTTATTGGTTGTAAGATCCCTGTGGCTTTCCTGTTCCCTCCCCCCCCCCATCAAATCCATATCATCTACTATTAAGAATTCCAATTTTCGGTTATTCTACTCGGAAAGAGTACTGGGGTATTGGTGCTAACTAACAAACCAGTGCCTCTGACTGTGTTCTCTAAAGTAACTTATACTTAAATCCCACACACTGAATGTGTGAATAAAGCAATAAGCGTCTTTCTAATGAATCGAAGAAGTAAGCGCTGTAACAACATTGTTCGTTTCAATATTCCATGTTACCCTCTGCTTATGACTGTTAGTTTTGGCGCGTATATTAATATGAATGTTTCCTATTCTTTTTTTCATGCAACCTTGAATGATTATATGGAAGTACACAAACAGCAGGGTCAAATATTCGAAGTGTAGTCGCAAAGAAATTTCCTTCATTACATGCACTACTCGCCCAAACTCTACTTTTCCCCAAAAAATAAAAACTAGTGGGAAAATTATTTCCCAGAGAAGATTTACAAAAATGTTTTGACGATGGGACAGCTTACTTCTAGGCAAATGCACAAAAGGTGGAGTTGGCTCATTATAGTTTCATTTTGACATAAAAATTCATTGGCACCCAGAAAAATGAGAAGACGAGTTTGACAAAAATACTTAATTTATCTACACAAAGACAGGCTATAGTTTAACACGGTAGGAATAAGTTGAAGGCATTCACAATCTAGCAACAGGATTGCGCAACATTTTGATAACCGCCGCTGGATCTTCAGCACCTGTCACCGCACTCCCCGAGACAATCATATTGGCTCCATTCTAAAAAGTGATTAAACCCTACTACTGAATATTTGTCAGTAAAATATTTGGAAAGTTAATTGTGGCAAATTTAGTGGCAGCAAGGTTTGAGAGAATAGAGAGATATGTGCATAAACGCACACATCGACAAGATTTTCAACGATTACCATACCTCAATACATTCGCGAATTGTCTTTGGGCCGACACCTCCATCAACTTCAATGTTTAAGGCATGATATTTCTCACGAAGAGCTTTAACCTAAAATGAAAGGAAAAAAATTGAGTAACAATGACCGAAACAATACCTTTTATGAATATGAATCGGTTCCTTTATGTCGATGGGGATATGCAGAAAAATTGTAGCCATTAATCTTATTGTAACTTAGCCTGACTCAGTGATCAAGTTATCGTTCTATAACTTATTCGACCAAATAATGACTAAGTTGTAACCAGTAATTGGGCCTAGTGTTACATACCAAATAAATATATTAATATATATATATATATATAATTTATCTAAAAGTGCAGGCTAAGTTCTTAAGAAGGGCAATGCAACAAAAAAAATCGAATCATAAATCTCACAAATCCAATAGCAAAAGAACAATTTAGTGCAGCGCAAAATAAGAAAGTATACAAACGCGGTGTTTATGTGGTCTAAGGCATAACAGAAACGATTATATTGAACCAGTACCTACCGCTGAAGGCGATTTATAATATAGAAACCGATTCGTGCACTGAGTTCTTTTTTTAAAATCAGCCAAGCTTATGAAAGCCTTGAAACGTATCTATTTGAGAAGATAGCACGAAGGGAATAAATTTCAATTTCCAAAAGATAAATAACCAACTGCATGTCTTTCACCTCAATTTGGCGGATATGCCAATTTGGTGACGAGGGGGTTGCTTCAATCTCCGCTTTTAAAGAAGATGAACCAAAAGTGATGGGATGTGAATGTTTTTATTTGAACTCTGCTATCCTGCATGCCAATGCACTTTTATCCTCCTATAAATACAAATTTAATTGTGTCTCAAATACAAAGAGCATTCTATACACCCGTAAAAACGTTCCGAAAACAGATTTGGCCTGGCTATGTAGAACCTTAGTTCAGCCAACGGTTTTGTTTACAATTTTGGTTTGCAGCATGTGGTGCCAATCTTTTCCGAATTGATCATTTGAAATCTTAAAACGCAAACCTGTCTTAAAACTAAACATTACAAGATTGAAATAAAACCACTCATGCATTTTAAATCATTTTTAACATAACACTTCAGACAATGCAGCATACATTTGCTTATTGATGAATCAAATATTGTTAGACGAATTTACATATGTGCAATCGATAGCGACAAGGCCAAGTAAAGGATGCAATCAAAAGTGTCTAAATTGGAAGCACAAATTAAGGTTACATGTCACTGAGTGTAAGCCAAAGCATTGAGTAAAATGGTAAATGAATAAAATACGAAATCTGGTCACTTCAATTATCGACGTTGAAGTGATAATATGTGCCAATTTCAGAATATTTACTGATAATCACTGATGTCAGTGAAAGTCATTATAAAAATATAAATGCGAAATAGAAGATTTTGTAATTTTCAAATTCCAATAGACTGCAGACAATATTGAGGACTACCTTTGGCATCATATCAGCCATGAAGCTTTGACCGCCAAAACCAGGTTCCACAGTCATAACAAGAATCATATCAACTAGATCCACGTAAGGGAAGACTTCCTCCACCACAGTCTTTGGTTTGATCCCTAGGCCAACCTAGAAGAGAAGGGACAGAAATCATAACGGGAACGAGAACATAAGAGAAAGACTACGAATATCTCAATACCTTCATGTCGGCTTCACGAATTTTGCGAATACAACGCTTGACGTCATCGGCAGCCTCGAGGTGAAATGTATACTGAGTGGCACCAGCATTGCGCATGCCTTCAATCCACTAAAGATTAAACAAACCAAGTAAGAAAGGTTAGCATAAACATCACACCCAGTAATTTGTTTCCCCCACCCCCAACCATGCTAACTTCACGGCACCAAAAAAAAGCAGAATTGCGACTGGAAGTCACAACTTCGATTGTTATAAAGAATGACTGAAAGAGAAAGTTCTAGGTAGAAGAATGAGATGCTACGGAGTAAGATTAAAACAGAAGTGGACACATTAAGCTTGTAGGTAGGACTAGAGGTGAAAAAAGCAATGTAGTTATCGGAGCCACACCAACAATTCCACTTCTGAAACAAGAGAATTCTCGCAATTCCATAGCACAGTTAGGAAGGCGTTTATCATGGGTCATCTTAGGAAGGAGTGGGGGAAGGGCATATAGGGCCTCAATGGTGACTAGAATTAAATCACTAGCGTGATCAATCATTCCTCTCCCTGATAGAAAACGAATCTAGCATGGCCACCGAGAACAATGTCCAATACGCCATAAACTCCCTTTATAACAGCCCAAAAACATGATTTTTTCCGACCCGCTAAAAGAAAAGCATAACAATTACGTACCTTAATAAAAGCCTAACCACGACATAGACTACGATGAAGTCCGTAAGAGTTGTATAAAAGGTGTAGCACCAACAACAAAACCTACTGGAATAGCAATTTTGAAAGATATTCTATATTATTCTTGATCTTATAATATAAGGCTGTCCTCATAGAACGATGAAATATTAAGTTCCAAGTATTTGTTAATTCAATGACAAAAAGCCTGTCCGTTCTCCATTGGATCAAGATTCAGGTAAGTGGAGGTGGTATGACCAACCACGTGAGTAAATCATCCAGTTAATAAGCACTGCTTACGCGGACAAAAGCCCAACCTTCAAACGGGGAGTGAATTTGCTAAATTTAAACGCTGTAAAGACAGTTATATTACTTATAAGAATGTGATCATATCATTGTATCCACGATTCCCACAAAGTAGAACTATTGTCATCTTGCTTCTTAATGACCCTCCTTCTCTTTTATGGCGATTTAGACGCGTTCAATGTTTCCTTAACTCGGAGGCTTTCTCGAGAGCAAAAATTGTATAGGCCACAAATAGGAGTGCCTTTTTATTCAATTCTTTTTTTGATAGGATAAGTAGGTGGGTTTATCAATAAGTAAACTACTTCTTAATCATAAAAGCAAACAACTTGGAGCCAATGCTTTAAAATTTTTGGAAGACTACTAAATGTAGGGCTTGATATAATCTAGTATAACTAACTATTTGAGAGAATTATGCTAAGGCACTGTAACTGGCAACAATGATGACAAGATTACTACCGAAACGTATGATTAAAACCAAATACTCAATTATGGTTTTATGAAAAAAATGCAAATACCTGAAACTTAAATAATATCAAAGCAAAATGATTGACAAATGATGATATACAGAAGCCAAAATGCGATAACACAAGAAAATATGGAAATAGGACATAATAAATAAAAACAATACCTTTTCTGGCTCAGCTACCATCATATGAAGGTCTAAGAAAGTTCCCTTTGGCAATTTTGGTTTCAGACAGGCCACAACAGGATGGCCGAAAGTGATGTTAGGAACAAAATGTCCGTCCATAACGTCTAAATGGAGGTAATCAGCACCAGCATCAATAAGCTTGGTAGATAAGTCGGTTAATGAGGAGAGGTCACCATTGAGTACCGACGGACCTATCCAGATCTTGTTTGAGCAGGGAAGATTTTCCCAGTGTTCGTGATTCGAGCACGCTTATAAACAATGACAGAAGCCGAATTTTACCAAGGTGCAGGAAGAAAGAAGGAATTAAGAGAAAGTAAATATGCTAATAATCCTAAGGTACAAACAAGTAACGGTATAGGAAAAGTAGCTTTGACTAAAAACCAAACACGTTTTAAAATATATTTTTCGAAAATAGACAAAACTAATAAAATATACTCAAAATGTCACTGACCAGAACATAAATACCTACCTGACATCAACTAAACAGTCAACCGCTAGAAAGTCCATTAACCTTGAAGCAGATGGAAAAGCTATTTTTTGTCGCCACTGGTACAGATTGTTATTTGAGAATAAATATTAATTTCATTTTAAACAATTTTTTATGATGTTCTAATTATATGCAACTGGAGATATGTGTAAACTTTTAAATAATAAGATGATTGGCCTTAGTAAAACTGCGAAATAATATGTGTGAATATATTCTATATTAATAATATTAATAATAAAATAATAGTACTGTTTTGGTTTATAAAGCTGGCAACTGTATACAATTTCTACACTTGTCAACAATTCAGCAAATTTTGAGTTACTCATTTATGAGCGCATTATATGAAGAAACGTAGAAAGGTTAATTTTATCATATGTTATCGCGCGAAATTGAACTGGCTTGCAATTACCGGAAATGCAGGCAGCCTTTACTTGAAACAGCTGTTGTAACTATTTGTCAACATATATTTTGTCCTACCCACGGACCAAATCTTGAATCTGGGCATCATCGAACTAATTGTCCAGCCTGCAATTCACCGCTTGATAGAAATGCAAACGATTTTATTGAAGTATATATCCTTATCTTAATCATATAATTATTTTTGAAGGTTGATTTACAACCGTCCGATCGATTTAAGTCCCTTATACTTGCTGGACAATCTCCATATGTTATATTGGATATTACGAAAAGGGCCATCAGTTTTTTCCAATTGCAACAATCTTTAAGATCTCAATTTGTAGAATACGTTGCGGCAAAATCTGTTGAGAAGACTAGATTATTAGAAAAAGAGCTAAAATCATTGACACTGAAAATGAAGGAAGAAAATTCTGTCCATGAACATATGAAGAAAGCCGTATGTTTGTCAATTTTTTGTCATTTTTCAGTTAACTCATGAGTGTGAAGAATTGCGATCTAAACTGATTGCATCTGATCAAAGGTTATCCCAACTCGAACGAGAATGTCAAAAGTTAAGAGCTTCTTCTCGGAATGATGGTCCAAATATTAGCTCCACGGAATCTGATCTTTTGAATAGATCATTTGTACGACCAAGTAATATGACTAAACAATCTTGGAATCCTGACCTAAAGCGAGCTCATGAAGCTATGCGGATTTCGCCTGATACAGTGTCTGATTACAGTCCAATGAAAAGCTCCGTTCGACTTAATCAAGATCGACACATTTTCGATCAGCCTTTTCGGCCAAATCGTGGTTCTCCATTTCGATTCGTGCCTGTTAATCCAACTGCTCGGGAACCTAAAAACGATTCTACTTCAAAGACCTTCCAATTTAATTTCAGTAATTGCAATTTATTCAAGTAGTTAATTTTTTTTCTTCTAGATAACGATCGCCATCGAAATCGTAAACCGGGATTTCCTGATTTCACCGGTACACTCAGCAGATGACATTTCGACTTTTTGTTATTATTTTGTATACCGTGTTGATTTATATATTATCAGTTTGTTTAATGACATTCAAATACATAACTACAACTTTACTGAAGTAAATAGATCTAATGCCTTTATCGTAGGAACAAGATTCGTAACAATTTAGTTGAGAAAATCGTCCTTTGAAAATGCTCCAGAATTCCTTAAGCTGATTTTACTTTTGTCATCTTAAAATCTTGCATTTTTTTCTAATAACCTCCAAGTAGGTAGAAAGTTAATCTAATAAGTAAACTTCGAAAATTTTGGTATATATGTTGTTTACTAGTGTGTCCGAGTTTTAGTTCTAGGCAGCTTTTTGACTACCATTATCTCTAATAATTTGAAGTAACTTATTATAACACGTGGATCGACACAACTTTTCACTTCTTGACATTTTTATCACCATCTATTTTTGCCTCAAAACACTCAGAAACCTTTTTATCCTTTAACTTGAAATGCATCTCCCAAATACACTAATTTAGTACTTTAACTGTTAGTTAAATCACGTCGAAATTCCAGCATTGAGTCCAAATTTAATGCCTGGGCCATATTATCTTTTTATGCTTTGATAAAAGTTCGTTTTAAATAAACTGTCCTCTTAATTACTATATAGTAATGATTTC